TCCGCTAGCACCTCGTCCTTGGTCGCTGTGGGCATCAGATCAAGATCAGACAGTTTGGCGCCATGCCTTGCTTTGCATAAACATGGATTTCCAATCCCGGATCTTCACTGTTTTTTGCGTGTAGAATCTTTTGTTATTTACCTACATGGTGTTTGCAACAAAAGAACAAAAACTTGTTCTCATCTTACACATCGGTACAAGATCCGCACCAGCAAGTCTTTCTACTCTTCTCACGTCAACAAGATGGCGTATATCACTTCTCATGGCACGAGAAAAAACAGAGCTCCCGAGCACAAGCCTTGGCTGTGCCGTCTGTTCAGCGGATACATACATACAGTTGAACAATGCACATCACTGATTTCGTACCTCTTCTTAATACAAACAACTGTTGTCTCTGACCAGTAAGCATGATCTGATTACAACATACATCAACAACAGAACAACTGTACATGATGAACAGACACGCATGCAATTGCGAGAAACTGCATAAAACGCGGAGCCTCGCTCAGTAAAGGGTCGTAAACGACTAGAGCACATCAAGGACGAAAACTGACAGGAACGTGCCCTGAGGAGTGTTAACAGCAGGCCACCACCCATGTACCGATCCCTCAAGTTTTGGCTTTCGGTGATGCACCAGATTGCTCATTTAGATCTCAGGAGATGCTAGCTCCATGGAAGAAATCTTGCACAAGGTTGTGGACCACCCTGCCCAGATAGATAGATGCCTAGCCTCAGGCCATGTCCTCTTCCATCCGACAAGTGCGTTCATGCTTCATGGATTTCCTGGGATCAACTTGGTTTTCCGTGAGGATGCTCGCACAGTGACCGTTGAATAGCAAAGTAAAATTGTTGTTACAGTGCTGATGTTCCACTGGTTCGGTGGCATCTTTCTGTGCCGTTGGAAGTACATATCCCCCCACCTGCAGCATCTGTAAGTCATTTCTCAATGTTGTACCAGCATTATAAGGGTAGACTGAAACAGCAAAAACATTTGCACCTCTGGTCAGCCCCCGATTACGCTTAATTGGCTGGCTCCATGACTACCGCAACTGGCAGATTCACGTTCAGATTCTTTCCTAACTTGTTACTCCAGCCAACGACGAGGTAGGGCTGGGCGATGGTGACGGCTCACCTTAATGCCATTCAATCTAAGAATAAGGGAATAATCTTTCTTCAGAAAAGTATGCCATAACTCCTACAGTGAATC